GTGGTGAATCTCAGTGTGATCTACTCAGATAAAAGAAACGGTAATATACAAAAAACTTTAGTAACGTATGGTTGATAGGAGAGGAGAATCGTGTAAGGATTCTATATGACGGACCACGTCAGGACATGTAAATTTCTGTCACTAAAGTTACCTGTCGCCATTTCTCTTTTAAGAGGGGAAGTTTAGTCAGTTCTTTTTGCAAAATATAGCCCATTGTACTTCTTAATTAATTAATTTCGTCCTGTTTTACTTAATTTCCAAATAAATAACGTATAAAAACCTGAATGCATTCAATGGTCCTTTACAGGAGTAAGAATGCAGTGATTTGTCTCTTTCATTTCAATAGTTGGGATTTCAGTTAGATTTTGAACTTCATGATGTGTTCTTAAGATTTTGATTGAATGTTTAGTAAATGACAAAAAATTTTGACCTCGTTTTCTTCTTTTAAAAATGCCCTTGTAGGTTTGAATTGAGAAAATGTTGCATTGGCATAAAAAAAAATAAATAAATAAATAAAAGATACGAATTACAATATTTGATATTATCTTGTCTTGTCCAACTTATTAAACATACCATAAATATTGATATCTAACAATAATGATATTGCTACAACACTAATTTAGGTGACATTAACTGATAAACCTAATTAAATTTTAAGAACGCAGGACCTATTTATTTAATTAGTTATATTATTTAGTATCATTTAAGCCACCTAAACTATTGTTTTAACACCACTCATGCTAACACTACAAAATGCTCCATTAGTTCCTATTGTTTTTAGGATTCTTAAAATTTGATAAGCCGTTGTATCCATCTAGAATATCGTTATGGCATATAAATCCAAATTGATTTATATTTTTTACCATTATTAGAATATGAGGGAAAATTCTGGAATCTTATTTCATACAAGTGACGTGACTATACAGGATATAAATAGGCGCCAAAATGGAGCCAAAAATGAAAAGAAAATACAGCTAGCAAAATGGACTAACAACTAACTAACTTCTAATATTCCCCCTCAAGATGTACAGTAAATGTCTTTAACGCACATCTTGGACATTAAGGAGTTCAAAACTGAAGCAGGTAAAGGCTTGATGAATGTGTCTACAAGTTGATGTTTGGATCTGATAGGGAGAAGCTTGACCACCCCAGCTGAGACTTTGTCACGAACAAAATGGTAGTCAATTTCAATGTGTTTGGTACGCTCGTGGAAAATGGGATTGGTTGCAATTTGAATGGCAACATGATTATCACAATAAAGAATGGCAGGAGCTGTGACCGGCACATGGAGATCTTTCAAAAGCTGTGTAATCCAAAGAAGCTCACCGACAGTAGATGCTAGAGCCCTGTATTTCGCTTCAGCTGAAGATCGGGAAATCGTTGGCTATCTCTTAGATTTCCAAGAGACCATAGAGTCTCCAACAAAGATGCAAAAACCAGTAGTTGATTTTCGAGTGTCAACACACGACCCCCAATCAGCATCAGAGAAGGCTCGAATGTTGAAGGATGAGTCAGGAGATTTCTAAGATGGAAAGATGAGACCTTGTCCAGGACTACCTTTCAAGTACAGCAGGAGATGGTGGACAGCTTTGAGATACAGCAGCCATGGTTTGGACATAAATTAACTCAATTTATGTATCGCAAATGCAATATCAGGCCTGGATATGGTCAGGTAAATAAGCTTACCAATTAGTCTTCTATAATGGGAAGCATATAGAAGAAGATCACCATCATGGATGCTAAGGCTGGCCTTTGTGTCCATGGGACAGCTTGCTGGTTTGCGGTCTAAGTATCCTGCGTCTTCAAGCAATTGCAAGGTATATCGCCTCTGGGAGATGACTATCCCTGAAGAGGAACGGACAATCTCAATACCCAGGAAATATTTCAGACATCCCAGATCTTTAAGCTTGAACTGGGATTGTAAGATGGCTTTGACTGACTCAAGAACTTGCAAGTTAGGCCCTGTTAACACAATGTCATCCACATAAACAAGGAGTGCCACAAAGCTGTTTCCTGACCCTCTAGTAAAGAGAGAATAATCAGCTTTAGACTGATGGAAACCATGTCTTATAAGGGCATGGGTAAATTTAGAGTTCCACTATTGAGAGGCTTGTTTAAGTCCATACAAGGACTTATAAAGCTTACAAACCAATTTCTCCCCCTGATCGTGTAGCCTGAGGAGATCATATCCCAAGGGAAGGTCCATGTACACTTCTTCAAACAATTCACCATTCAAGAAGGCATTATTGATGTCTAGTTGAGACAAGTGCCATCTATATTGAGCTGCAAGAGCCATAATAACTTTGACAGTACCACTCTTGGCCACTGGTGAAAATGTGTCAAAGTAATCCAGGCCCTCTTGTTGTGTATAGCCTTTTGCAACGAGGCAGGCCTTGTGTCTTTCAAGGGAACCATCTGAGTTAAACTTGTTCTTATAAATCCATCGGAATCTAACACTCTGTTTCCCAGGTGGTAGGGGTACAAGGGACCGGTATGATTGGTTTCTAAGGCCTCCAATTCAGGCTTCATGGCATCACGCCAATGAGGAAACTTGATAGCTTGATGAAAATATTGAGGTTCAAGGTAAGATGTGATGTTAAGGATCAGATTTTTGTGAGGTTCAGACTAACGATCATATGAAAGGAAATGGCCAATGTGAAGTGGTGGGAGAAGAGTAGGTTGAGCAGAATGTGACATCAAATTGCAATGGTAGTCAAGAAGGTATTTGGGGGTTTGGACATTCTTTTGGATTTCCTAAGATCATGACATGTGGATGTAGCTGGTGAGAGGGTAGGTAAAGGGGACTCAGGGAGTGCTTCAGAAGAATCAAGAGCAGTATATGTATTAGCGTCATTGAGAACACTATGTGGCTAAGAACTGATGTTGTCAACTGGGGAAGATATTGCAAGTAAAGGTAGGACTAGATCAGAGAGTAGATCAAGTATTTGATCAACCTCTATAACGGTGTGGAAAGGGAAGACCTCTTCGTGAAAAACAATATCTCTTGAGATGAAGATTTGTTTTGATACTACATCAAGAAGTTTATATCCCTTAACACCAGCTGGATAGCTTATGAATACACACAGCCTTGCTCGAGGTTGGAATTTATCTCTGTGAACAATTAATGTGGAGGCAAAACTTAGACAGCCAAATACTCGAAGATGAGAATAAGTAGCTGGACTACCATATAAAACCTCATACGGTGTTTTATGCTGTAAGATGGGGGTTGGAGTTCTGTTGATGAGATATGTCGCTGTCAAGACACATTCAGACCAAAAAGAGACAGGAATTCTGGATTGAAAAAATAGAGAACGAGCCATGTTCAGCAAATCTTGATACTTTTGTTCTACAACCAAGTTTTGTTGTGTTCTCTTCACACAACTAAATTAATGTAAGACCCATTTTTCAGCAAAAGGACAACCCATATGCATTATCCGATCTGAAGCCTTTTAGTTTGGCATTGAATTGAGTGGTGACCATGTTAAAGAATCAATGTACAACACTTTTAGCAACAGATTTCTAGCGTAGTAAATATATCCAAGTAAATCTTGAACAATCATCAACTAAAGTCAAAACTATTTATGTCTCGAATGTGATTGAATATGGTATGGCCCCCATATATCACAATGCAACAAATCAAATGGCTTGCTAGAAAGTCTGTTATTAGATTCAAAAGATAATCTTCTTTGCTTAGCAATGAGACAAACATAACATGGAAAATGTTTATTCAATTTTGATATATCACAAGCTACCTGATTTTTCAAGATATCTAATCTTTTGAAAGACAAGTGACCAAGACGATTGTGTCATATGTGTGCAAACACATTACCAACAAAAACATGTGTAAAGGTGTTAAGATTTCTAGTGTCAAGTACGTATAACTCTTGAAGTTTATAACCCTTGCCAATCGTCTTCTTGATTGAAGCTTCCTGAATAATGAAGTAATCAAGAAAGAAATTCAGGATGAACTGAGAATCAACAATTAATGCACTAACTGATATCAAATTAAATTTGAATTGCCGCACATAGAAGACATCACGTAGCACCAAAGCATTGCTCAACTTGACATCACCACATAGACTAACTGATATACGTGTGTGGTTTGGCAGGATAATACTTGCATCGTTGACTGGTCTTAAGGTAAAAAATGCATCAGTAGTAGAACAAACATGTTTAGTAGCCCCCAAATCAACAATCCAAATACTTTTATCAGTAAAAATGGGAGTCATTGACATAGAATGACATATACCTGAGGCAGCACGTGAGGTGGTATGCTTATCATAATCAGTTGCAGTAACAATGGAACTTGAAGTCAGATGGTTGGGTAGCACACTCATTAGCTGTTGATACTCTTCAGGATTTAGATTTTGCATAAAATTTTCTATACTAGAATGCTGATTCATCTGAGTGTTAAGTGAAATCTGATTCACTAGATTGGAGGTGGAATAGCCTTGGAAATTGTCCTTCGGCCTCGGCTTGTATCCTGGTAGATACCCATAGATTTTGTAACATTTATCCACTGAATGTCCATGGAATTTGCAATGAGTGCAATAAGGCCTCTCCTTCTTCTTGAGGTTTCCAAGGACACCAATTCTAGGATTAGATATTGTCCTTGCGTTGCTAGATTTTAAGGCAAATGTAGCAGCACCATATGCATCATTCTTGGTGGATTGTGTATTCATTTTTTTTTCCTCTTGTGAAATCAGTGCAAATGACTTATTGATTGGTGGTGTGGGATCCATGAGAAGGATCTGACGACCAGCTTGAGAGAAGGTGTCATTCAGCCCCATAAAGAAGGACATGATGTGCTCCATCTGATAGTATTCATTTAATTTCTTTACACCACCACATGTGCACTTTCCACAGCTGCAATTTGGTCGAAAATAGCTCAACTCTTCACATACAGTTTTCAGTGTGGTGAAGTAAATGCTTACATTGTTTTGATCTTGAGTCAAATTCATCAGATCTTTCTTCAATTGGAAGATCCTTGGCCCATTGCTCTACTGAAATCTCTCCTTTAGGTCATTCCAGATCTCGTGAGCAGTAGATGCATGTATAACACTTGCTGAAATGTCCTTTGAAACTGAGTTGAGGATACATGACATCACCATGTTATTATTTCGGATCCACGAATTAATCAGGTCAGGATTCGTATCCTTCGGTTTCTTTAATGATCCATCAATGAGTGGCAGTTTATTCTTCACCGAAAGGGCGATCATCATGGCACAACTCCAGGAGGCATAATTATCTCCTGTAAGTGGCTGAGAAACCAGTAACAAGCCTGGACTGTCCGAATGATGCAGAAAATATGAACTTGACGGTTCATCAATGGTTGATTTGCTCGTGGATGAACGTGATTCAGATGTGTAATCAGATTGTGCTGGCTTCATTGCAAAGAGAAATCACGAACAGGAAGGGGATGAACGAAGGGTGAGCACAGGGAGGGTTTGCTCTAATACTATATTAGAATATGAGGGAAAATTCTGAAATCTTATTTTATACAAAATGATGTGATCGTACAGGATATGAATAGGCTCCAAAATGGAGCCAAAAATGAAAAGAAAATACAGCTGGCCAAATGAACTAACTAATACCTAACTTCTAATAACCATATATCGATCTTGCACTTCCGATTAGCTAGTGGACTTGTTGAGCATACCAAAAATTATTTTTGGACCGCAATATACCATGATTAAAAGCATATTTTCAAGTACCGTTTAGATTTCAAAAAAAGTTAATTTCAGAAAAATACCTAAAAAGGTGCCACCAAACATGATTATAATTTCATCATTGTGAAATCATGTCCGTATAGAAATGAACTGGTGTCGACGCAGTTTCACCTTAGAAAGTAAGAACAAGAAGTGATCAGTCATGGAGATTACTCAATGACGAAGGAGATAATGATTCAAAGAAGTGGTGGTACAAGTATTCTGGTAGGGACTTGATTCTGTTTTCGTGCACTGAAATCAATAAGATCTTCTTAGATTCATCACTATGAAATGCTGCCACTCATTCTTTTTTAGGAATATGCTAGACGTACAGAAGTACAGAAGCACAGAAGCCTTACAAAATTTTAAATTAGGCGACGTGTCGCGTGTCAGTGAAAGGAAATAGTTGGCTTGGCCTTGGAGAAAAGTATGTAAAAATTCATAAATTTCTTATGTTTTTGTCTTGATTTTCGGGCTTATTATGGGATATCAAACGAATTCGAAATATTACACTCTTAATATCATTTTGAAGTACTCACGGCCTAGTATTTCACGTCATTAACAGTGCGTGAAACGGCCAATCATAGCAAATGTTACGACGCATCAAAATAGGCCTTTCCAAACTAGTATTTCGAGAATTTCGATAACAAGCTAACTTTAAAAATTCTTCGACGATTGTACGTTAGTCAAATCCATAAATCTTCTATATTCTCTCGAAACTCATTTCAAGAACTATATCATAGACATATCGAATGATCTAAATGAATATCGAAAATAGTTAAACGTACATTAAACGTATGTGTTAAAAATTGCGTAAAACTCGTCGTTTTTTAGCTCAATGTAGTGCTATTTGTGTCAATTTGTCAATTTGTTATTAACCACTTCCTTTCCAGGCAAAACAATAGCATTTATAGGAGGGGCAGTGCTGGGTGTACATTACAGAGCCCTTACAGGGTTCTCACAAAGAGGTGGGGTCGAAATTTTTTTTTCATTTTTTATACATCGGGCTCACATGGGACCGACCCCATGTGAGGGGTCGGTAA